GATGGTGACTTGGTCTTCACTGGTGGCATAGGAGATAGGGGAGAAGCGGTCAGATTCTGGATGTATTTCAAATGCTTATGCTGAGAGAAAGAAGTCAGACAAAAAAAGAACATATACACTATGATTCTGTTTATATCGAATTCTAGAAAATGTAGACCAATCTATAGTGACAGGTTGTTTGAAGACAGTTGGGAGGGTGGAGGGAAGGATTACAAAGGAGCGTGAGAACTTTTTTGGAGATGCTGATATGTTAATTAACTTGGTTGTGATGATAGTCTCAAGGATGTATACGTATGTCAAAAATTATCAAATGATACACTTTAAACATGCAGTTTATTGTAGGTCAATTATTCTTCAGTACAACTATTAAAATAAAGACATAGAATTGGCCGATGGATTAAAGTTGGGTGTGAAAGAAGTCAAGGATGGTTTGCAAGTTTTTGGCTTGAGCACCTGGAAGATAGTAATTAAACTGTCATTACTATTCCAATCTAAGATAGGGAAGGCTGAAGAAGATAGAGTCGGGGAGAAAAAGATAAAAGAATTTGACTTTCAACACATTAAGTTAGAAATGCCTATTAGAAGTGGACCTTGAACAATTACAAAGGATTTGCAGAAGTGGGAAACCGCCAGGGGAGGGCAAGGGTGGGAGTGGCAGTAGTGGGAATCTGCAGGGGGGATAGGAGCACACCTCATCAACAAGGGTACATGCGTTATGAACATTTGTATACCTAACCTTGAAGTGTACCCACATCTTTAACATTAAAAAAATAATAATATAAAGAATAAAATGCTTGGAAATAAATTAAAAAAATTTTTTTTACCTCATTCCAAAAACGACAATGTTTTGCATTTGAAAAAAACAGAAACACCTAAGATTCTAAAACATATAAATACGCAGTAGAAAAGAAATGAAGAATGAACGACACTACGACTCGATCAGAGTGTGCCTGTCCATGACCTTACCCACCATATATTCTCTCCAGACAGCACTGGAACTACCCTGGACCAATGGGACCTCTCATGACCCTTAGAGCCAAAAATTTGTGAACATCTGTTTACCAGCCTTTTCTTCTTCAACATTATGGATTGCAAACACGGGCCACATTGCTTCCACTTGCCTTTCGTGCAATTAGTTGAGAAACCAACTGATGGGTTTGTTGTTAGAGGGTGATGAAAAACCTCAGCAGAGAATGCAGTGAGGAGCCCCTGGTAACAGAGGAACACAAAGTGCTCCAGCCACTTTGCAGTCACTCTTCCCTGGGCAGACCTGCTGGTACCACCACCCCGCCCCATTCCTTTAAAAAAATAATTGCACATATAGATAACCCAACTTTATTACGATTTAAGTAAGATTTTGCTCCCCTAGTCAGAAGGAAGATGCCAAAATTGCTTGCGGCTCGATGGAGGCTTTACAGAGTTGTGATTTAAACGGAGGGAACTGCCTGGATTTGAATCGCAGCTCCATCACTCACTAGGTGGAAGAATGTTTTAATGTATTCATCTCTAAAATTAGGATCGTAACCTCCTCCCCCGTTCAAGACCAAGCAGGCTACTGCTTTACATCCTCAACCCACTCGTTCACTCCTTCCTCTTTCCTAATCAAAGGGGATCGCAGGATGGGGCCCCAAGGAAGCCCCGAGGGTCGGAAGGGGAGAGAGCCTGGAATCCGGGAGACGAACGGTGGAAAATCACGGGTGGGCTGTGGTAATTTGGAAAGGGAGGGACCACACCGAGCATGGCGGGGACTTGGGGGGGGGCAAGTGGGTGGGCTGGTTCGCGACGGACCAGAAATCAGAAGCCTCGAGAGGTCGTCCGCAGGGAGCTGTTGGGGCGGCGCGGGGTCGGGGCCCCAAGCGCGCCGCGAGGGCGAGCGAAGAACGGAGTCACGCGGAGGGTCGGCGAAGGGACTGTGAAGTCACGCGGAGGGTCTGGGAAGGCGATTGGACGAGGGCGAAGGCGCAGAGTTCCGGTTGCCACGGCAGCGACGGGGCAGAAAGCCGAGGCGAGGCAGCCTTGAGCTCCCGCCCTCCTCCTCCCCGCGGTCTCCCGCATCCCCTCCCGGAGCCGCAGCTGACGTGTCAGCAGCGAGTCGCTCCACCTCCCGACGGCGCCCCCCTCCGCCCCCCGCGCTCCGCCCCCGGCCCCGCCCGGCGGCGCCCGCCCCGGCCTCCCCCTCCGCGTCACCGGCTCCCCGAGGTGACCAC